AGAGAATTGTTTTCTCTTACATAGTTTTCTGTTGCCTTCTTATGAAGGTTTCACTTTTCAAAGAGTGTTATGTTGCATTTGGTCTACTGAGTAGTGGATCTGACGTGGATCACCAACAAGCAAACATGGCAGTGTTCAGATTCCAATTCAGGGAGGTCTCGATCTAGCAGTTCCCCAGTCGGTGGAAAATGTCATAAAGTGTCGGGGCGTGTGGGTTGACAGAATAATATATTTTCCAGTTGAGAAATCTGCTTGAATGATCTAAACCGTAAGAACTTTTCAAAATGTTTGGTCTCAAGTGCGGCAGGTATTCGTGACGGCCATTCTTTCACTCCGCCTCCATAACTTTTTTAATAGTGCTGATACAATATTTTTAGGAATGGCAGAAGCGCACAGCTTGGCGGCTTTGTTCTTTAATCTGACGCTGCTGATACAATATTTTTAGAAATGGCAGAAGCGCACAGCGTGGCAGCTTTGTAATTTTGATGCTGCTGATACAATATTTTTAGGAATGGCAGAAGCGCACAGCGTGGCAGCTTTGTCTTTTACTTTGACGCACGATGGGGTCTCAGTTTCTTATGATCAGGAACTACTCCGCGACATCTGGCATGCGTTTTCTAGAGCCTATAAACGTCGAGTAGCACGCTTCAAGGTTGTTTTTAACTTGGCAACTGTGTCAAGAACTTGTTACACAAGATGTTAGGACTTAAGTAGTCGACTCTATTCATTTGCTTACAAGGAGGTATATGTTTTATGATACAGCTGATGTTGCAGAATAATTTTTATACTGGTATTTTTCCTGCGAACACTTACACGTTTTTAACGGTAATTATTTCGCTAACCTTTCTTTCTGTGTTTCATCGTGATCTCTCTCTCGGTATCGTTCCCTTCGTACGTCACTACATCTTTGGGTTTTTGTTTGGGTAAGTTCGAAAATGGTAGGAAATTTTTTAATTTAGTTTCAAAGCTTGTTTTCAAGCGGTGTCTTTACTTCTGTTTTGGAAATATTGTATTTTATTTTACAAAACAGTTATTAACTTTCATCTGTTAAGTGATGGAGTGGTGTCCAATATTTTGTCGCTTTTTACTTGCGGAACGTTGATTTGGTTTGTTGCAATTCAAACACTTCGACTTTCGTTGAAAATACTGCTGAGTTACAAAGGGTGGATGTATGAAAGCCCTCATGCAAAAAGTATATCAGCTGCTTCGAAGCTTTGGCTTGTGAGGATTTTAAAAAGTTTTCTGCTTGTTAGGCAAATTACTGATGTTGTAATCATTAATTTTGTCAGTAAAGGGAATTTTAAATTTTTTTTGGCTGAGCAGTTTGATTATCATTTGTGTGTACATTAATCCTGACTTGGCTAGGGGGCATTACATATGATCTCAAAATGTGGCCCCATGTTACACTCTTTCCAAGGAGCATTGCCTCATCTTCCTTTGCCGGGTCTTGAAGATACGCTGCGAAAGGTATTGCTTTGATTTTTAAAAATAAAATGTTGTTGTGAACCACTGTCTTTTTCTCACTTGCAGTGGTTAATTAGATTTCTTTGTCTTTGAATAAGAGTTAAGATATGAGTCGATATCTATTTTAGCATTTGGAAACAATGCGCCCCATCTGTAGCGATGAAGAATATAGCGAATTAGTGGTGTTAACTGACAAGTTTCGACTAGGTATTGGTCGAAGACTTCAACGCTACTTATTAATTAAAAGGATTTTGTCGGTCAACTACGTTACGGATTGGTGGGAAGAATTCGTTTATTTGAGACAGCGTTCTCCTATAATGATTAACAGCAATTATTATGGATTTGATGCTCTAAGAGCCCAGAGTAGCATGCAGCAGTCGGCTCGTGCTGCAAACTTAGTTTGGATTGCCTTCCAATTTCGACGTATGGTCGAACGGCAAGAAATAACTCCGGTTGAAAACTTAATTTGCTTGCTTTTTCATTTATGGTTTTATTCGACCAGAAGTTCTATTGTTTTTGACGTCTTTATACTTTTTTCCAGATAGCTTTCTTCAAATCTCTGATTTTATTTCACAATTAAGCTTGAGTGTTTGTTTCAGTTCTCTTTGTCTCCTCGTCAGAAGGTACCATTTTGCACGATACAGTATGAAAGAATATTTAATAGTTGTCGTGTCCCAGGTGAAGAAACTGATCGGTTTTGTCACTGGGATGATGCTAGACATATTGCTGTTTTATACAAAGGATGCTATTTTCGTTTACCTGTCTACACCGGGAAGAGGTAATTTTGTGATTAAACGTTGAATATTTTTTCTATGTATATCTTGTTTTCTGTATAAAGTCTTATTGTAGTCTTGCAGTGCACTGTTGAAGAATTATGCCGGAAATAAAAAAAATATATTTGGTTTGACAAAGGAGGCCTATGTCTTTCTCTGCTGCACTAAATGTTTCCAAATGTATTATAAGTCCTTTTCATTGCAGGTTGCTCTGCCCAGCAGAACTTCAGAAAGCTTTTGAAGCTATCCTTAATGGAGACTTTACCCCTGCTCCTGGTGAGGAAGATTTGGCAGCATTAACGGCTGGTGATCGTACTCCGTGGGCGATCGCTCGTAGAAAATTTTTTTCTGCTGGAGTAAACAAAACTTCGTTACAGGCCATTGAACGTTCTGCTTTTATAACTATCCTGGATAATGAAGAAGTGTCGTATGATCCGGCAGGTTTTTTTGAGTATTTTTTTTTT